AAATCAAGCAGTGGCGTCGAGGCAGATTTTTTTAAATGACAGGAATAGGAATTATGTTGTTAAAAATCTCTAGTTAATGGCTCTTAAAATTATCTTTCCCGTCGATTTAATTGAGGAAAGACGAAGAGAAATGCAAAGAAAGCAATTGTTGCGCCGCTTCTTGCAGACGTGGGCGCTCCCTGCCAAATATTTCTTGTGTGACAAATGTTTTCTTTTTCTCTCTCTCGATAATATCACTTGCTCTAATATCTTTATCATGATTGGCCTTAATGTTTTGGAGAGCTTTCGATATCGCACAGTGCTGCCACCCCAGGAAGGCGCGTGTGCCATAATTCGCAACATCACTGAATTCTTAGAAATGGGGCTAAATATATTTGTGTGCGCGCTGTGTGTGTGTGTGTGTGTGTGTGCCTCCGCGCGCGTACGTGTGTATATTTATATGTGCATTTAGTGATGAATCCTCGTATATATAAATCAATTGTTGTATTACGAGAACTGTTAAAACTGATGGATTTAAGTAACAACAAAGTTGAGACTAACAGAAGGACAAGAGGTATTTCCTGATATACTGACGTTAGTGTAGTTAGTTATACTTACAGATAGCTTCATGTCTAACAGTCCCTAAGCTGAATATCTGGGCATATAGATAGCTATATACATTTCTCCCATCTTCGCTGTTCTTTGAATTCAATAATCTTCATATTGTGTATCTCGTCTTCTTATCACGATACTTTTATTTAATATGAATATGTTTCAGCCAATTACTAGGCATTCGGTTAATATCTATACCCGAGGACAGTTGAATGAAAAGTGTTCTTCACTGTTAAACTTTTTTGTTATCATTTTTTAAATTTACCGAATACCTGCATGAATTTTGAAATAGATGTGTTGTTTTAATGTTGTAGAAAGATAAAAGAAAGTTGTTCTTGCAGTGATGTACTGGTTGAATGTATGAATATTACAGTTACTTATTGACCTTTTGTACAGTATGATGATGCACCTGTTCCCTGATCTGCTAAATCTGACTATGATGTTGATAGCTGTTGAAAAGGTGTATTCTGTGAGTTGTGTGTATTTCATGTGTTCTTTTTACCCGTGGGGCATGTTGATATAAGCGATGATGCTGGTCTATTAGCCGATATGGAATAATGATTGACATAAAATACTCAAATATGTATATATATGTGTGTGTGTGTGTGTGTGTGTGTGTGTGTGTGTGTGTGTGTGTTGTGTTGTGTGTGTGTGCGCGCGCGCGCATAAACACACACACACTACATACATACATACATACATACATACATACATACATACATACATACATACATACATACATACATACACCACAACACACACACACACACACCCACACACACATACACACACACATACACACACACACACACACACACACACATACACACACACACACACATATACACACATATATAATATATATATATTATATATATATATATATATATTATATATTATATAATAAAGGTTAACACTAAAAAATCCGGCAACCTCCGGACCTGAGGAGTGTCGGATTCTCGAGGACAGCGCCATCAAAACACACACGGCGACTCCAGGAAACATTTGCGAGGCAGTGGCGGTAAATTTGAAAATGCCGAAATTTGAAACCGAATNCATACTATATTTATATATTATTTTAATTATATAAATTATTAATTAAAAATAAAAATATTATTTATAATATTTTAATAATATTTATATATTATATTTATATATCATAAAGTTCCCGCGCGCTCAGAGGGATGCAAAGGGCCTCGATGAATTTCGCCGCCATAGCCTATCCTGCGCCAACTCCTCCAATCGCCCCGACATTCCTCTCCCGCTTCATGGCGCGTGCCCACGCCTCCTTCGGCCTGCCTCTCTTCCTCTTCTTCCCCGAGCTGCCAACCGGGTGTTCCCCGCACAGTCCCTCTCTCCTTTCTGAAGACGTGTCCCAGCCATTTCCACCGTGACAACCTAACATATTCATTCACTGGTTGCACTCCCGTAATTCCTCTAAGCCTATTGTTCGAATCTCTCTGCCACCATTTAACTCCCAGTATCCTTCCCAGTCCTTTATTTTCGGAAACTAAAAAATTTATTATCCAATGTTATCGAACTATGCCATGATTCATGACCATATATTAAAATTGTTTTCACCATAGACACATTTTTTTTTTTTTTTTTTTATCTTAGTATGTATTGAAAATTACTTATTATTCCAAATATTTGTCAACTTATAAAGATCCATCCTTTGATAAAGACGTTCCTAGATATTTAAAACTCTCTGCTTTCTTTACTTTATTCGTATTCATAATTTCAGCCTTTTGCGCAATTGATTACTAAACCAATTTTCTCTCCCTCTCTAACTAAACAATCTAGTACTCTCTGCATCTCCTCTCCTTCACTAAAAAGCGCAATGTCATCAGCATAGTCCAAATCCAGCAATTTCCTTCCCCCACCAAACAATTCCTGCGTCAGTTTCCCTTGCAGCCTTTTTCTTAACATAGTCCATAACCACAACAAACAACAAAGGGGACAAAATCCCACCCTGAATTACCCCAGACTTTACTTCAAAAGCATCACTCAATGAACCATCAACCATAACATATTGTATTCTCGTGTTGATTTGTCACCAGAATCACCAACCACTCTGGAACACCATAATGCCGCAACACCTTCCCCATCGCTCCCCTCGGAACACACTATCAAATGCTTTCTCAAAATCAACGAAACACAAACTTAGTGGGACCTTCATTTCATTCCCCTTAATTTTATTTATGCTTTGTTATTCCTTAATTGTTTTATTGCCTTCTCAATTTCATTTACCGTTGTCTCTCCACTCTCTATATCCAAATCATTTTCCGCAGCTGGTATATCCTCCTCCGGTGGTATCGGTCTATTTAGTACAGTTTCAAAGTGCTCCTTCCATCTATTCCTTATGTCATAATCTCTAAGAAAATTTCACTCTCTATCTTTAACTGGAATTTCTTTTTGCTTGTTGGTTTCCATTCAATTCCTTGATTGCCTTATATGCTAATCTTTGACTTTGCCCATCATTTTTATTTATCAAAATTTCTGTTTCTTTAACCTTTTCGTTTACTTGTCTTCTTTTGTCCCTCCTAGTCAATCTCCTGACTTCAGAAGGCAAACTCCTATACTCTGCCCTTGCTAGCTCGATTTCGCGATCATCAATCCTACTTGCTTCACTCCTTAGCCTTGTATCTCTCCTCTTCTTAATCATATCCCACGTTTCTTCCGACGTACACTTCTTTCTCCTAGCTGTGCGCCTTCTGATCGTACAGTCTGCAGATTCCTTCAAAACCTTCTCCACATCACCCCTTATATCATCAGCATTCCTCTCCTCCTCCTCCAAAGCTTCCAACGCCACAAACCTATTCCTACACACCCACTTAAAATCCTCCATTCCCTCTCCGTCCCTCCTAAACAAATCAATATCGTACCTACACACCCTAGCATTCCCTTTCTTTTGTCTTTAGTTGATGATCGCTGTCAACATCACTCCTCGTTTTACACAAACATCCAACAAAGAACTCCGATGCAATACTGATAGCAATACTGATCGCAATGTGATCAATTGAACCTAATCTAATCCCTTTTTCATTCACCCTACTTCCAGCCCCCAACTTCCCCATACATTTCTCAAACCCTTCATTAAACCTTCCCAAAACTGCGTTAAAGTCACCAATGCACGGCAGAATATCATGCCTGGCGACTCTTCCTAATGCATCCTGTAAATTCCCATAAAAATCATCTTTCATGGCATGGGGCGCATTGTTTGTAGGTGCGTGACAAACCAGCTTATTGATGTTGCCGTGCTTTGACTTCAACCTCGCATGAAGCAGGCGCTCATCAGTAGGTTCCCACTCATTTAACGCTTTCTTTGCATTCCGACTAACTACCAAGCCAACCCCTTGATAGCGCAAGCCATCCCTTCTACCAGATATCAACAAACTCACTCCATCCTCCAAATTCATTCCGTCTATTCCAAGCAGTCACGTCTCGTGTCACAGCACATACGTCTAAATCGTATTTTTGAAAATTAGAGACCAATTCCTCAATTATTCCTTCTAGTCTCAGTGTTCTTACATTCCAATTTTCAATCTTTATTGCCGTTTTCGCACTAATAAATCTATTTATAGATCGTGTTTCTTATCACCCCTTGCCCACTTAAGGGCTGCACGGGACTTGGGGCCATATTTTCATCTTCTGAATTCATCAAGGTTTCTTTGGCTAGATAAATGGACGCACACACACACACACACACACACACACACACACACACACACACACACACACACACACACACACACACACACACACACACACACACACACACACACACACACACACACACACACACACACACACACACATATATATATATATATATATATATTATATATAATATATATTATATATATTTATATATATATATATTTATTATATATATATATATATATTTTTTTTTTTTTTCATGTCTATATATATACATACACACACGCACATATACACACATTTATATACATGAAAAAAAAAACACAAACATACGCAAAATAAAAGGAGAAAGTAAAATATCTAATTAATTTCCAGTGAAACAAACAAACAATCAAACCAATATTTATAATATATATCCCTCTTCCTCCTCCTCCTCCTCCTCGTCTCCCTCTTCCTCTTTCTTCCACCTCCTTCCTTTCTCCCTGGTCCTCCTTCTCCTTCTCCCTTCTCCTTATTGCTCTTCCTCCCCTTCCTCCTAACCTTATTCCTCTTCCTCCTCCCCTTCTTCTTCTTGTGTCTCTTCCACTTCTGATTCTCCATCTTTCGATATTTACCATCAAATAATTTTGTCAATTATCATTGTCATCAATATCATCATTAACGTCATAATCAATGTCATTATCATCATCATTATCATAATTTATTTCATTTATTTATTTTCCTTTAAAATGGTCTCTAGGTCGGGAATCTCATCCACCAGATTTTATATATTTTTTAGCTTGGAGAGGTAAAAAGTCGGATTCACAAACTGGGGTGGTGATGCACTTAATGGCGTTGGTGATGCACTTGGTGACTGTGGTGGTGATGTTGATGCACTCAGTGGCTGTGGTAGTGATAGTGATGCACTTGGTCGCTGTGGTGGTGATGTTGGTGACTGTGGTCGTGATGTTGAAGCACTTGGGGGCTGTGGTGGTGATGGTGATGCATTTGGTGGCTGTGGTGGAGATGGTGAAGCACTTGGTGACTGTGGTGGTGATGTTGGTGACTGTGATGGTGATATTGGTGACTGTGGTGGTGATTGTGATGTACTTGGTGACTGTGGTGGTGATGTTGATGACTGTGATGGTGATGTTGGTGACTGTGATGGTGATGTTGATGACTATGGTAGTGATGCATTCGGTGGCTGTGGTGGTGATTGTGATGCACTTGGTGACTGTGGTGGTGATGTTGGTTACTGCGGTGGTGATGGTGATGCACTTGGTGGTTGTAGTAGTGATGGTTACTGTGGTGGTGATGTTTTGACTGTGGTGGTGATGTGATGCATGGTTACTGGGTTGTGACTGTTGGGTGTGTTGATGGTGATGTTGGTGACTTGTGGTGGTGTGTGGTAACTGTTGGTGTGGTGATGTTGGTGACTGTGGTGATGTGGTGTTTGGTTGACTGTGGTGTTGATTGTGGTGTGACTATGGTGGTGGTGCATTGGTGACTGTGGTGGTGATGTTGGTGACTGTGGTGGTGGTGGTTGGGACTGTGGTGTTGATTTGGTGACTTGGTGGGTGTTGGTGACTGTGGTGGTGATGGGTGACTGTGGTGGTGTGTTGATGTTGATGACTGTGGTTGGTGATGCATTGGGTGACTGTGTGGTGATGTTTGGTGACTGTGGTGGTTGGTGTTGATTGTGTGACTTGGTGTGTGATGTTGGTGACTGTGATGTGGTGGATGATGCATGGGTGGCATGTTGGTGATTGTGGTGTTGGTGGTGTGGTGGTTGATGTTGGTGACTGGGTGTGATGGGTGACATGTTGGGTGGTTGGTTGGTCTGTGGTGGTGATGTTGGTGACTGTGGTGGTGATGTTGGTGACTGTGGTGGTGATGTTGATGACTTTTGGTGGTGATGCATTGGTGGCTGTTGTGGTGATGATGGTGACTGGTGTGACTGTGATGGTGATGTTGGTGACTGTGGTGGTGCTGTGGTGGTGGACGTGGTGGTGATGTTGGTGACTGGTGGTGGTGCTGTTGGTGGACTGTGGTGGTGATGTGGTGACTGTGGTGGTGATGTTGGTGACTGTTGTGGTGATGTGGTGATGCATTCGTGACTGTGGTGGTGATGGTGATGCATTGGTGACTGTGGTGGTGATGGTGATGCACTGGCGACTGTGGTGGTGACTGTGATGCTTGGTGGCTGTGGTGAATGATGTTTGGTGACTGTGGTGGTGATGTTTGTGACTGTGGTGGTGATGTTGGTGACTGGTGATGGTGACTGTGTGGTGATGGTGGTGATGTGACTGGGTGACTGTTGGTGACTGTGGTGGTGATGTTGGTGGTGATGTTGGTGATGTAGTGTGATGTGGTGACTGTGGTGGTGATGGTGATGCATTCGGTGACTGTGGTGATGATGGTGATGCACTTGGCGACTGTGGTGGTGACTGTGAAGCAACTTGTTGGCTGTGGTGTGATGCTGGTGACTGTGCGGTGGTGATGGTGATGCACTTGGCGACTGTGGTGGTGACTGGGATGCACTAGTTGGCTGTGGTGGTGACTGTGATGCACTTGTTGGTGGGGGTTGATGTTGGTGCGGTGATGTGGCACTTGGCGACTGTGGTGGTGACTGTGATGCATTGTGCTGTGGTGGTGATGGTGATGCCTTGGTGACTGTGGTGGTGATGGTGATGCTCTTGGTGACTGCGGTGGTGATGGTGATGCACTTGGTGACTGTGGTGGTGATGGTGATGCCTTTGGTGACTGGGCGGTTGGTGATGGTGATGCATTCGGTGGCTGTGGTGATGTTGGTGACTGTGGGGGTGATGGTGATGCACTTGTGACTGTGGGGTGACTCTTGTGACTGTGGTGGTGATGGTGATGCACTTGTTGGCTGTGGTGGTGATGTGGTTACTGCGGTGGTGATGGTGAATGCACTTGGTGACTGTGGTGATGGTGATGCTCTTGGTGACTGTGGTGGTGGATGGTGATGCACTTGTTGGCTGTGGTGTGATGTTGGTTACTGCGGTGGTGATGCCTTGGCGACTGTGGTGGTGATGGTGATGCACTTGGTGGCTGTGGTGGTGATGTTGGTTACTGCGGTGGTGATGGTGATGCACTTGGTGACTGTGGTGGTGATGGTGATGCTTCTTGGTGACTGTGGTGGTGATGGTGATGCACTTGGTTGGCTGTGGGGTGATGTTGGTTACTTTGCGGTGGTGATGGTGATGCACTTGTGACTGGTGGTGGTGATGGTGATGCTCTGGCTGACTGTGGTGATGGTGATGGGTGATGCACTTGTTGGCTGTGGTGGTGATGTTGGTTACTGCTGGTGGTGATGGTGATACACTTGGCGACTGTGGTGGTGACTGTGATGCACTTGTTGTGGCTGTGGTGGTGATGGTGATGCACTTGGTGACTGTGGTGGTGATGGTGATGCTCTTGGTGGACTGCGGGGGTGTGGTGATGCATTGGTGACTGTGGTGGGTGATGTGATGTTCTTGTGACTGCGGTGGTGATGGTGATGCATTCGGTGGCTGTGGTGATGTTGGTGACTGTGTGGGGGGTGATGGTGACTGCACTGGTGACTGTGGTGGTTGAATGGTGATGCACTTGTTGGCTGTGGTGGTGATGTGGTTACTGCGGTGGTGATGGTGATGCACTTGGCGACTGTTGGTGGTGATGTGATGCACTTGGTTGTGCTGTGGTGTGTGATGGGTGATGTTGGTGACTGTGGTGGTGATGGTGATGCCTTTGTGACTGTGGTGGTGATGGTGATGCACTTGTGACTGTGGTGGTGATGGTGATGCCTCTTGGTGACTGCGGTGGTGATGGTGACATTGGTGATGATGCTGTGGTGGTGAATGGTGATGCAACTTGGTGACGTGTTGGGGTGATGGTGATGCTCTTGGTGACTGCGTGGTGATGGTTGGTGGCTGTGGTGATGTTTGGTGACTGTGGTGGGTGATGGTGATGCCTTGTGACTGTGGTGGTGATGGTGATGCATTGGTGGCTGTGGGGATGTCTGTGGTGGTGATGATGATGCACTTGGTGACTGTGGGGTGGTGATGTTGGTGACTGTGGTTGTGATGCATTCGGTGGCTGGGTGGTGATGGTGATGCTTTGGTGACTGTGGTGGTGATGGTGATTTACTTGGTGACTGTGGTTGTGATGGTTATGTACTTGGTAACTGTGAAGGTGATGGTGATGCACTTGGTGACTGTGGTGGTGATGCATTCGGTGGCTGTGGTGGTGATGGTGAAGCTCTTGGTGACTGTGGTTGGTGATGCACTTGGTGGCTGTGGTGGTGATGGTGATGCACTTGGTGACTGTGGTGGTGATGGTGATGTACTTGGTGACTGTGGTGGTGATGGTGATGCACTGGTGTGGTGTGATGGTGATGCACTTGGTGACTGTGGGGTGGTGATGGTGATGTCGCTTGGTGACTGTGGTGGTGATGGTGATGTACTTGGTGACTGTGGGGGTGATGGTGATGACTATGGTGATGTTGGTGACTGTGGTGGTGATGGTGAGTACTTGGTGTCTGTGGTGGTGATGGTGATGTACTTGGTGACTGTGGTGGTGATGTTGGTGACTGGTGATGTTGGTGACTGTGGTGGTGATGGTGATGTACTTTGGTGACTGTGGTGGTGATGGTGACTTGTAACTGTGATGGGTGATGGTGATGCAACTTGGTGACTGTGGGGGATGATGGTGACTTGTGACTGTGGTGGTGATGGTGATGCACTTGGTGACTGTGGTGGTGATGGTGATGCACTTGGTGACTGTGGTGGTGATGGTGATGCACTTGGTGACTGTGGTGGGTGGGATGGTGACTTGGTGACTGTGATGGTGATGGTGATGTACTTGGTGACTGTGGGTGATGGTGATGCACTTGGTGACTGTGGTGGTGATGGTGATGCACTTGGGTGACTGTGGGGGTGATGGTATGCACTTGGTGACTGTGGGGGTGATGGTGATGTACTTGGTGACTGTGATGGTGATGCACTTGTGACTGTGGGGTGATGGTGATGCACTTGGTGACTGTGGTGGTGATGGTGATGCACTTGGTGACTGTGGTGGTGTGGTGATGGTGATGTACTTGGTGACTTGTGGGGTGATGGTGATGCACTGGTGGTGCTGTGATGTTGGTGACTGTGGTGGTGATGGGTGATGTACTTGGGACTGTGGGGGTGATGGTGATGCACTTTGGTGACTGTGGGGGTGATGGTGATGCACTTGTGACTGTGTGGTGATGGTGATGCACTTGGTGACTGTGGTGGTGATGGTGATTCGGTTGGTGACTGTGGTGGTGATGGTGATGCTCTTGGTGACTGTGGTGGTGATGCATTTGGTGGCTGTGGTGGTGATGGTGATGCTCTTGGTGACTGTGGTGGTGATGGTGATGTACTTGGTGACTGTGGTGGTGATGGTGAGCACTTGGTACCTGTGGTGGGATGGTGATGCACTTGTGGTGACTGTGGTGGTGATGGTGATTCGCTTGGTGACTGTGGTGGTGATGGTGATGTACTTGGTGACTGTGGGGTGGTGATGAATGGTGATGTTGGTGACTGTGTGGTGATGGGATGTACTTGGTGACTGTGGTGGTGATGTTGTGACTGTGGGTGATGTTGGTGACTGTGGGGTGATGGTGATGCACTTGGTGACTGTGGGGTGATGGTGATGCACTTGTGATTGTGGTGGGTGACACTGGTGATGTGTGGATGATGGTGATGTACTTGGTGACTGTGGTGGTGATGGTGATGCATTTGGTGACTGTGGGGGTGATGGTGATGCACTTGTGACTGTGGGGTGATGGTGAGCACTGGTGACTGTGGTGGTGATGGTGATGATTACTGTGGTGGCACCTTGGTGACTGTTGGGGTGATGGTGTGGCACTTTGGTGACTGTGGTGGTGATGGTGATGCACTTGGTGACTGTGGGGGGGTGATGGTGATGCACTGGTGACTGTGGGGTGATGGTGATGTAACTTGTGACTGTGATGGTGATGCACTTGGTGACTGTGGGGTGATGGTGATGCACTTGGTGACTGTGGGGTTTGATGGTGATGCACTTGTGATGTGGTGATGGTGATGGTGATGGTGACTTGGTGACTGTGGTGGTGATGGTGATGCACTTGGTGACTGTGGGGGTGATGGTGATGCACTTGGTGACTGTGGTGGTGATGGTGATGCACTTGGTGACTGTGGTGGTGATGGTGATGTACTTGGTGACTGTGGGTTTGATGGTGATGCACTTGGTGACTGTGGGGATGATGGTGAATGCACTTGGTGACTGTGGGTGAGGTGATGCACTTGGTGACTGTGGTGGTGATGGTGGCTGGTGCTGTGAATGAGTGATGGTGATGTAACCTTGGTGACTGTGGGGTGATGGTGATAACACTTGGTGACGTGGTGGTGATGGTGATGCTCTTGGTGACTGTGGTGGTGATGATGATGCACTTGGTGGCTGTGGTGGCGATGTTGGTGACTGTGGTGGTGATGTTGATGACTATGGTGGTGATGTTGGTGACTGTGGTGGTGATGTTGGTGACTGTGGTGGTGGTGACTGTGGTGATTATGGTGATGCACTCAGTGTGTCTTGTT